TGTGCCTGAGTCACTCCTGCATCACACCAATATTAATCTGGTGCCTCACCCCTGGAACCAAACCCTGCTGAATGTGGCACTAGTATTGAATGTGCTAGCTGTAAAAGTGCTATTCACAGAATTGTGTCTTTCAGTTCCATCAATATGGAAGTTATTACTAGGTTACTTGGATTGCAGCAGCATCCCAGAACCCCAGTCACAGGCCAAGGCCTCATTGTTCTAGGTGCTGGACTAACACAGAGCAAGATCAGCTCTGCCCCAAAAAGCTGACAGTCTTTAAAAATAACAAAAATAAAATAAAATAAATATCAGAAACTTCTGCACCAAACTTCTGGTTTCTTTGTTGCTTGGGGAGCACGTGGGCACTCAAAAACTACATCACCTTTCAAGTATTAAGGCTTCCGCAAAACATCAGCCACCGAGGCAGCATGCCACAGTACAATGCAGCACAGTGATCAGCTGTAACAGGGTTAGCGACAGGTTTCCACAGTTACCCACTGTGATGAACTGGACATCAAAATAGCACCCTGTAACCCCCATAATCATCATTTGTATATGGCTGTGATTGTGACATTCTGTACCTTGGGGGAGCACCCTGTAACCCCCATATTCCTCATGTATATATAATTGTGATCTTGTATATAAAGCAGGCTGTGTGAGGTATCAGGGGAAAGGTTATTATCTGCTGAAAGTCATTTCTCTATCCATATATGTATATCATTAATGCATATGAAGTTATGAGAATTGTGTTGTATGGTTGTCACTAAAACGTAAGTTGGGGGAATCAGCCAGATATTAGTTCCTCAGAGACAACAGCAAGGAATGTAACCAATGCCTGGGTGGGTTGTTAACCCATCAACAGCCATTGTCCAGTAAGGGAGCTACAATTCAATGACTCTCCAGCATAAGGCCACACCAGGGGGATTGATCAATCTTGCCTGGGGACTCAACAATGCCCACCAGACATGCCTGGACTTGTGTTCTCCAAGCACATGGGACTGAGGGTATAAAACAGAACATAGGGGCCTTTCTCCTGCCCCCACCTATGCTGCAAGCAACAAGGACACTGAGGAGACTTAAGACTAACAGAGGAGACTGGCCCAGGTTTCAAGGGTGAAATCTGTGTACTAAGAACTGCAATATCCAGTGGGGTGAGAAAAACTGCTTAAACTAGATGTTACCCAGTATAATAGGGTTGAGAGTTTAGACGGCATACTTATATTTTATTTTATTTTGGTAACTAACTCTGACTTTTTGCCTATCACTTATAATCACTTAAAATCTATCTTTTGTAGTCAATACATTTATTTTACCATTTTTCTTTACCAGTGAGTTTGTACGAAGTATGTGGCAAAACTGCTCAGGTTTGCAAAGGCTGGTGTATGTCCACTTTCTATTGATGAAGTGGTGAACTAATTAATAAATTTGCATTGCTCGTCTTGAGCAGTGCAAGATGGTATATTCCTGAGGTACAGTGCTGGGAGCTGGGGGGAGTTGGCTGGTACCTTGCTCTGTGTGATTCATGAGTGGCTCTGGGAGCAGTCATGCAATCTAGCTGGGTGTGAGGGCTCCACATGCAGTTGTGCTGAGTCAGTGGTCCCCAACCTTTTTGTGGCCAGTAGCACATTTATGTTTTCAGAAGAGTGTGCCAGGCACCAACAAATTTTCAAGGCTTATTTTGTATTTGTACATTAAATATGAAAAACATCATATTTAATATTACATAATATATGAATCCAGAGAGAAGCCGGAGAGAAGCTGCGAGGACAGAGAACACCAGCGCCCGCAGCCCCGGAGTACTCTGTCCCCAGCAGGCGCGGGGCCCCGGCTTCTCTCTCCTGCTGGGCACTAGGCAGGCCCCATGCCTGCCGGGAACAGAGCACACTGCGCCCGCAGCCCGAGTTCTCTGTCCCCGCCAGGATAGGGCCGCGGCTTCTCTCCCCTGCTGAGCACTAGGCGGAGGCACATAAATGCCCCGGCGGGCGACATGGCGCCCACAGGCAACGCGTTGGGGACCACGGTGCTGAGTGATCACAGCGCCTGGAGGGGTTTGCTGCTTGTCACTAGCAAGTCATTGTGAGCGGCAGCCCAGGCTGAAGAGAGTTAAGGGTGGCACAGCCCCAGGCTGCACCCTACAGATCTTGTCACGGTGATATTTCATACAAAGCATGCCAAATAAGATACCACATGAAAGGCGACAATCTGATGAAACTCATCATTCTGCTAAAATATGTATATCATTAGTATGGAGGAAGTTATGAGATTTTGTTATATGTTCATTATTGAAAGATTTTGTGAGTCCGGGAGATGCCAAAGCCAGCTCTCCAGTGGCAACAAAAGAGGTGACCCACACCCAGGTGGGCGTTAAGTGACCACCATGAGCCATTGACCAGCAGGGGAATTGTAAACAAGAAATGTACAGTTCTGTAAGAGACAGTTGTGCAAGCACCATCCAATGAGGATTGCTCAACTTCATGACTCAGTAAGACCCACCAGGACATACCTGGGCCAATATCTTCCCTGGGACATGAATTAATAGTATAAAATAAGGGACAGTGGCACCAGGAGATCACCTCTTTCCTCCCCCACCAACGCAGAAAGCAACAAGAATGCTAGGAAGACAAAGACTTTGAACTGAGGAGATTCCTTCTCAGCCTGGGACCAAATTGAGCCTGTATATTACGAGCTGTAATCTAACTGCAACATCCAGTGGGGTGAGAAAAGCTGTTTGATTCAACTCTTGCTTAGTCTGAAAGTTTAAAGATTCAGAATGCACATTTACTTTTTATCTTCTTAGGTAGCTATCCCTGACCTTTATGCCTATCACTTATAATCACTTAAAATATATCTTTCTGTAGTTAATAAACTTATTTTAATGTTTTATCCTTATCAGTGAGTTTGTCTAAAGTGCTTGGAGAATCTTCTCAGATTACAAAGGCTGGTGCAGGTCTGCTATCCTTTGACAAAGTGGCAAACTAATTAATAAGCTTGCATTGTTCAAGAGGAGGTCTTGAGCAGTGTAGGACAGTACATTTCTGGGGTGCAAGGCTGGGGGCTCAGGCGGATTTGCTGGTGTTTCCCGTTGTATAGTTCATGAGTGGCTTGGAGAGCATTCATGCAACATAGCTGGGTGTGTCTCTTCATGCTGGTGGCTGAGTGATAACAGCTCCTGGAGGGGGTTGCTGCTTGTCACTAGCAAAGCATTTCAAGAGACAACCCAGGCTGGAAAATTAAGAGGGCATAGCAGTACCACAGCTCCAGGGTGTACCCTGGGCATCCCATCACACCCATTAACAACTATCCACTAACCAGGCAAAGCAAATAATTCCCATGCAGACTACACTGCAGTGTAGAAGATAGCACAGTCACTGCATGAAAAGTTATATAATGTACTCTCCATTTCTCAGGCACTTTCCACCCAAGGAACTCAAAGCCTTTTACAAAAGGAGGGTGAATATCTGTATCTTACAGATGGGGAAACTGGGGCACAGCAAAGTGACTCATCCAAGATAACACAGCAAGTCAGTGGCAGAACTAGGAATAGAATTCTGGTATCCTGACTCTAACCACTATCTTGCTGCCTCTTGTGGTACTTTCCATGTACCATATTCAGCACACACACCCCTACCCCCAGCTTCTGAGTTGCAGTGGGGTGAACAGTTCAGGGAGAGAACCCAAATCCATCTGAAGGAGCCACACTAGAGGCTGCCTGCTAGCACCAATGGCTCAAGTGGGCAAACTTCAAACACCCCCTTATGTCTCCACCTCATGGCAACGTACACTGGCTGGGTGGGTGGAAGGGCCAACAGCATGAGCAGCACCAGAACACATCTGCCCATTGTGGAAAGGGATTTTGGAGCCTGCAGGCCCCCACAAAGCTAGATCCATTGGTAATTAAAAGGTTTGGTGGGATTCAGAGTCCTGTCTACACTGCAGCATGGACCAGTCACGCAGGGATGCCTTAAAATGCTGTTCTACATTGTAGGCCTCCAACAACCTTTGCTGGGTCCCCAAACTAAAGAGATAGCTGGCTTTTTAACAGACAGCTCTTATGAAATCTGATGGCTGGAAGCTGGACAAATTTAGACTAAAAATAAAAGGGGCAAAGTCTTAAAGGAGTAATTCTCCACTGGAACCAGGGCTGGCTCCAGGCACCAGCTTAACAAGCAGGTGCTTGGGGCGGCCAAGAGAGAGGGGCATCACCTGTGGCAATTCGGGGGAGGCAGATCCCTCACTCCCTCTAGGAGCGAAGGACCTGCCGCTGAACTGCTGCCACCAATCGCGGTCTTTTTTTTTTTTTTTTGCGCGCTTGGGGCGGCAGAAATGCTGGAGCCAGCCCTGACTGGAACAACTTACCCAGGGTCACAGTGGGGTCTCTTTCCCTTGCAGTCTTTCAGCCAGGACTGGATGTCTTTCTAAGGGAGACATGCTCTAGCTCAAATAGCAGTTATGGGCTGGATGCAGGAATCACTATTCGCAGGCCACTGTTATACAAGAGGTCAAACATCATGGTCTGTTCCGAGAAGCTCTGGCACTCTAAGTAGAGCTGGTTAGAATGATATCCCGCGCCCCCACCCCAAGGAAAACTTCTCTCTCTCGCTCCCGCTCTCTCTCTCACGCACACACAATTGAAAACCTACTGAAAAACACTGGAAGGAACGTTTGCAGCCAGCCTTACTGTGAAGCCTTGTGCTGTCCATGGCTTAAGGGACAACGGTTAGGTCCCGTCTACACTAAATCATGGAAACCTGCTTGTGTCTTGCTTTGCTTTTGTCGTGACTTGGGATTGCTCTTGTCGGGTGCAGTTGAGTGTAACGATGCCCTCAGCCACGCACCAAATGGCCACACTAACCATGGCAAGAGATGGTCATATACAAGGGCCCTGATACATCAGTCTTCCCACTCCTCTCTGCCCTTCCCCCCTCAATTACCTCCATCACCCTTGTCCTCACCCTTGCTTTCATGGGAGACCAAAAACAGAACAGGCATTCTCCAAGCAGTAGGAAAGAGGCATATTATTTATTATTCCCACCTCACCATGCCAAGGGGGTTTAAACTCACTGTATTCTACAAATACTAGCTCAGCTCACTCCCAATCTGACCTGCCCACCTCTCATAGAATAAGAGCAGAGTTCAAGGAATCATTTGTTTAAAAAAAAAAAAAATAGGGCAGGGAGTGCAAGATGACAGATGCTTCCAGTTTGCCAGAAAAGTGGAGGCAAGGACATGAGCAGAGTATGAGAAGCCAGAGGGACACGCAGCATAGAGGATCCACACAAAACAGAGAGATCGCTCTGCCATCTTGCTGTGAAAGCATCAAGGGCACATTTCCAATTTTACAAAGCTACAGAACCTGCAGTCTATTTATCAGACCCAGCCTGTCAGCAACTAGGACTAAAAACCATAGAAAAGGTGTGAAAAATATATTTAAAAAGTAATTATTTTTCTTTAAAGGCATGAAGCCATATTCCTTCATAAACGCTTCATCAGAATCTCCTTAGCGCTGGGCTCTTCTGTGGAATGGCTGCCTCTGCATGAAAAAGGCACAAAGGCAATCTGAAAAAACCTGCCACTACCTGGTGTGTCTAAGGGGATCCAGGTGAGACTCCAGTACAGGCTCTTGAGGGGCTGGTGGGGAGGAAGATGGTGGTGCCTTCTGAAATGCAGGCTAGGGGCAGATCCAGCTCTTTCCTCTCAGTTTGGCTAACACCCCCCAATTCTGTAGCTCCCCTTCTCTCTCCCATTCAAGCCCCCACCTCCTCTCAGCAGGGACTCAAAGGTGCTAAACTGCATGATGAAAGGGCAATTGGGATAAAAATTCTGAGACCATCAAACTCATTTAACTTGTGAGCCCAGCAGGTATTGAATTGGAAAGGTTCCTAAGGGGGACCTTTGAGCTGCTTCAGGTTTCCCAGGTGTAGCATGAGGATCAAAGACTTGGCTTCGGGTGGCTTTAAAGCTCAGTCTCTGGGCAAAACTAGCAGGCAGACCATCCCCCTTAGCTCCATGCTGCCCTAAGGAAACAGCCCTGGTCTCAAAGGCAGGCAGGCAATGGGGTGCAACCTTGCTCTAGGGCTCCGCAGAGCCAAGGTTGCTGCTGTGGGGCGGTGGGACACATGAGAAGGAGAGAGGAGGCAGTGAGCAGAGCTGGAACACTTCCCAGAGAAAGGAGAGGGCTCCTCTATGGAGGTCAGGGCTTGGCAGGGCAATACTGGGTCCCGTTGGCTGTGGGGTCGGAGAGAACAGTCTTTCGGCAGGCCAAGAGCGATGGGTTGTTGAGGAGGGTGTAAGCCAGCCCCCACCGGGCTCTCGTCTGCTTGGACTTGGATGCCTTCAGCAGCCCCTTCACAGGCTGCATCAGCTGGATCCCTGAAAAGGAGGAAACCTCAGCGTCACTCCCTACTCCTACAGGGAGTGCCCACCATGTCTCCGTGCGAAGGGGGATTATTCTCCCTGCCCTGTGCGTGCCCCTGCAGAAAGATGGGAGGAGGAGAGGAACCCACAGCCTGGCAGTGCAGAGCCAGGAAGGAACCTGCACTGATACCCCAATATCACCAGGCTGCCAGTCAGCCACGTCGCACTGGGGAGTGGAAGAGGATACGCTTTCTCCTCAGTGCAACATTATGCAGGGGGAGCCCGTGGGACATTTCTACTGACACTGCCCTTGATAGATTGAATTCTACACCCTCCTTTGTTCATAGCACCTCCTGCTCCTTTGGTGGAAGGGTGAAACCACTCCCCAGCCCTCCCTTAGAAGGGCAACCAACACGTGGACCCAGCCTGCGAATGAGACCAGACATTTTCAACATGAGCTCCTTGCACTATCAGCGCCCAGCATGGGAGTCTGTCCACAGACACTCCCCCTGCCACCAGGAAATGCTGCTTCTCTTGGCTAGCAGTTCTTTAGCACTCATTCAAAACTGGGAAGCGGGGAGGAAGCAAGATCTCACCTTCTTCCGCATCAGTGGGTTTGAGTCCTGTCTGCCCCTCTGGGCCACATAATTGGAGAAGCAAGAAGCAAAAGGCTTTCATCACAGGGTGTGATTGGCTGACCTCAATTTTCAAGTAATGACAGTAAGTGCGGTAACCTGGAGGGGAATAGGCCATGTATCAGAGCATGTAGCAGAGTCCAGAGCATGTGCACACTCATGCAGGTACACACACACAGCGCGCAGAATTCAGGATTTTCTCCTCCTCCACAGAGGAACAGACTGCAGGGGGCGGAGAAATCTCAATTTGAGCTACTGTTCTGTAAATCCAGAGCAGTTCTGGAGTCACTCCGGATTCACACCAGTGCAATCAGAGATTAGAACCTGCGCTGTGGGCTTCACGCCCTAGGCCCCAGCAGCTTTGGTGTCAAGTTTCACCAGAAGCAGCTGGGGGGACAGGGAAACCTACAACATTTCAAGGAAGCAGGTTTTCAGTAGCAGATAATCATGCAGTGCTGTTTTGGAAGCCAGATTCACCCCCCCACAGAACCCCAGGCAGGCAACGCCAAGCTGCCCAGGCCCTGTTTCTCATTTAAACGTGGCAGGATGGCTAGCTAGGTTACTCTGTTCCCAGGTTCCATGCCCAGGGACAGTCCAGGAGTTAGATCCCTACATCAGATGTGATGCACAGGATCCTTAGGTTAGCCTCAGACAGACATTCCTCGTCTATGACCCAGATCCTGCCAGAGCCCCATTCACCAGGAGCACCCCATTGGATTTACAACATTGGACCCAGGGGAGGAATGCCCACCGTGGGTAAATGCCAGGACATGGAGGAGCAGTGTATGTTGGCTCCAGGAGGGGGCTATCGTGTCCTTTACCTGGATCAAAGGCCTCGACGCCCCGATTCAGCAGGCTGATGTCCAGCTGGCAGAAATGGACAGCGTTGTAAAGTGCAGAAATGACCATTCTCCAGACCCCGGCCAGGACCCCCACCAGGACGTTGACGGGGAAGAGCAGGTAGGTCATGATGCAGAGAGCTCGCCTGGAGCAACGAGGCAGAGATGAAACAATAGGGCCAGGAGGCCAAGGAGCCCACTCCACCCTGACAAAGAGCCACTCGCTGCAGTAGTGATGCCCAGTGTTAGTCCGGCATACAGCCTGCTATCCCTCCCCAAGGTTTCCACACTACCAGACTGCTTGGGGAAGCTGAAGGATGCTGGCAGTGGAGCTTCCGTTAGCCCCTTTGGTCCTCCAGGCATCTCAGAGGACTTTACAGACTCTCGGTCAGTGACCACAAAGACAAACACAGCAGCTTTTAGGAGGCTAGCCAGAGCTCACAGGCATGCTGGGAAGTTAGACCTGGTTTTGGGGAGAGAAGGGTTGTTGGCCACTGTGCTCAGGTAATGTCCTGGGCTCACTGCATGAGTTCTCTGGCCTGTGTTCTGCAGGGGACCAGACCAGACAATCAATGGTCCCTGTTTGCCCTAATATCTCAGGAATAGATGAAATTCCCATGTAGCGGGGTGAACTTCCACTCCAGCCCTGAAGGGGTTGGAAAAGCCCTGCAGAGGGCTGGAGCTGTAAAAAGGAGCCAAATCCCAGCTGATTGGGGAAGTGGCTGCAGCTGAGGCCACGCCCCAAACTGAGCCACTCAGCCTTATAAGGCAGCCAGAAGCTGAGGAGTCTTCCTCTGACAGGAGAGAGAGACAGGCCTGGCTGTAGGGAACTCACTGGGGTGGGGTGGGGTGGGGCGGGGCAGGGGAAAGGCCTTGGGGGCTGAGAAGCCCTAGGCTAGCAACTCCCCAGGCTGCAGGGCTTGGTCCTAGGCCCACATAGGTATTGGGGTTGCAGAGGGGCAACCTGAGAGTGGGTAAAGGCAGCCAATCCAAACCCCTTGTTGCCTGTGATGATTGGCTGATAGACTGCAGTCTGCCCCAGGGCATGGGGGCTAGATGGTGACTGGCAGTAGCCATGACTGAGGTGACATTGGGATGGGGGTGGGGAGACCCAGAGAGAGAGGGGGTACTGCCAGGGGGGCAGCACCCAAGCCAAGGGTCCGGGAGGGACATGGGGGCCAGAGACAGGTGGGACACCTGGCCTGCAGAAGGTGCTCTGGATGCTAGGTGAGCTAATTCCCGAGACGACCAGCAGGAGGTGCTGTAGGGGTGAGTCCATGCCTGATTACACCCCATTTGTTCTTTACTGGAAAGGCAAGACTTTAGAGTGGTGATCACACAGTCCTAGGCATCCTGAGACTTAGTTTGAGGTTCATCCACTGGCTCCACCTCAGCAGTTACCATCCCCTCTGACAGGGTGTTGGGAAGCTTCACCAGTGCTGGAGATGTGGGGGTCCTTGGATGGACGGCACTGCCTCATGGGCTCACTGTGAGACCAGGAGAGCTCTCAAGTCTTGTGGTGAACACAAGGTGAGGTAGGCTTGGGGGAACTGGAAGCTCAGATGCAGCTCTGGCATTTCATACAGTTCAGCCCCATGTCACCCGGCATACAGGTTTGTTCAAAGCCACATGCACCAAACCCAGACTAGGTGTCCTATAGCCTCTGAGACCAGAGATAAAGCAGTGTGCATGTTTAGCTTCTCAGCATCCCTTCACCTGTTGGTCAGCTCCTTCTGCAGGTGGTGTTTCTCTAGGAAGTGGAAATGAGCAAGCAAGTTCTGCACGACCACAGCAAGCACCAGAGTCAGCCAGAAGGGCCTGGGCAAGGGAGAAGACAAGGAAGAGGCAGATTCTAGTCAGTATGTTTGCCTGTCAGTTGTTCATAGAGTAGATGATCTGAATGTTTGGGCCAGGTTATGGCATGGTCTGGAGGAGCCAAATGGGGGGCAGGAGAGGCAGAAGGAGCTCAGCACATGTGTTCAGGGGCTAGACAATTTGCAGCCCCTACGATTATGAGAGCACAGAAATTGCCACTTGCCAGAGTCCTCTGGGGAACAAGGGTGAATGAATTATAGCTCCCTCACAGTGGGATTGGCCTGCCCTAGGGAGGGCAACCATGCTGCTACCCCTTAGGAGCTCCTGGGAGCAGGGCAGCCTTGGTGCTCAGAGCTTCACAGCACAGTCTGGCCTGTGCTGACTTGTCTGCCCAGTATTATTCCATAGTACCTGCCACTGGAGGGTGAATCAATGCTTAGAGCTAAGGGAAACCCAAACCATATTTTGATGGTTTGCCAGGATGGTCCTGATTTGGCAGAGAATGTGGGTGGGGAGGAGAAGGAAGAGAACTCAGACCACTAGGCCATTAAAAGCATCCATAAATATCTGGGTCAATGCAGCCAGTGTTAGGCCCAAACCAAGCCCCAGGACCAGAGCAGCCCTGAAAAACAGACTTTGGGAAGCTTCAGATCTGGAGCCCTGCTTGCCAGGCCAGTCTCTCAACAGCCTCTACGTGAGGTCCCCAAAACACACAGTTGGTCATGGCTGCATGAGAATTGTAGCCCACTCCTTCAGCAGGCAGCAAGGGCCTGATTTTCAGAAAACACTGGGCACTGGACAAGTCAGTCTAATGGGTGTGCAATGCCTCCTGCACAAGGAGGGAGCTACACAGGGTAATCAGGATGGTGGAATAATCTTTCCTTTAGCCTGGGGTCCATGTCTGCAGCTGGAAGATGCAGCTCTAGGGTTGCCACCTGTCCCAAATCCATGGGACAACCCCAACTGCGCCAGAGCTGGTCCTGTTGTACAGAAGGGCAATTGAAGAGCCCCAAATATACCTGCCCCCCCATGGCATTGCATCAGGATGCAGAATCGCAATGATGTTTGGATGGAACATCCTGACATGATGCAGCTGGGCTGTGAAGTTTGTTTCTTCAAGGGCAGCTGGTTACTTTGTCTTTATCACTTGCCCACCAGAGGTCATTTTGTGACTTGACTGAGTATCCCATTCCCCATCTCCTTAGCCCAGAGCTCCCCAGTGCCACCTGCTGGGTCTGAAGAGCACTTACCACATGTTCTCCAGGATTTTAAACAGATGCATATTTGTGCCTGACTGGAGAGGAATGACCACTAGGAAGGTGAAGCCCACGGTGCAGACAAAGAAAATCACTTGCTGGGTGAGGAGACCTTTGAGAGACAGAGCATCAGCCACAGTGGAAGGGGTAAAAAATTGCCAGGAGACGGGTGGAGGAGGCACTATCAGTCTCTAGTAAGTGGGCACACCACCACTGATGGTGTTAAGACAGACACATTTCCTCTAACCCTATTTACTCTCTCATTAACGTTCCTCAGAGCTGCACCATTATTCCAAGGCCCACCTCCCTTTCCTTATGTGGTTGCACCTCTGCTCTGGGAGATGCCTGGAGTTCACCTGGCTTTACACACTACACATCGAGACTGGGGTTATTTCCAAGTAGCCTAAGTGAGTTAGGCACTCTGTTGCTATTAAATCTAAATTATTGAAAATCAATGGGAATTGGCCCCTAAATCACCTACATGCTTTTGTAAGTCTCACCTCATGCACCTAACTCCTTTATGCTGCTTTTAAAAAAAACAACCTCAACCTAATTCCATTGACAACCTGTTACTTCCCCTCTCACCTATGTGTTAACTTACTAGGTCTACTCTGTCATGTTCACACTCACACACAATTCATTAATGGATTTAATTGGGGGATCAGCATTTTTTCTTACCATGTGGCTCATTAGTCACACTGAGAAGAGCCAGCTCTGGAGTCTGGAACTGTGATTTTTAATAACAATCACACCAAGACCAGTAGGGTCCACAGGACCAACGATTCATTTAACCTGATCTAAGGTGAGCAGCTGGAGACCATACACCACACTGCTAATTCATTCAGCTCACCACTATAAGGACTTTAAAACTAGGAGTTCAGAAAAGCATCACTTCCCAGCATCAGGATGTGTGACTCGTATGTTCTTTCAGGATCCCTAAGGCAATCTGCGCCCCCCCCCGCCCCCCCCGGGACCATGAGGGCTACAGGCCTGCCATTTCACTACTAGGGAAAGTGCTGTTTGACAGCCCTGCAGACTGAAGCCCACCACTTATCTACCAGGCAGAGACTGGGCAAACTTCCCCTCCCACATCTGAAACCCAGCCCATCCTGGGGGGAGGGATAGCTTAGTGGTTTGAGCATTGGGCCTGCTAAACCCAGGGTTGTGAGTTCAATCCTTGAGGAGGACCATTTAGGGATGGGGGGGGGGGAGGTTGGGGATTGGGACTGCTTTGAGCAGGGGGTTGGACTAGATGACCGCCTGAGGTACCTTCCAACCCTGATGTTCTATGACAGGCTACTTTTGGGTAGTGGGAAGGGAGTTCAGGCTCCATGCCCAATGCAGCCCTTGGTCTCACTGCTGAAATAGCCAAAAGGGTCAATTAGTGCCTGCCCATTATGGTCAACCTTTGTTTCTGTTCCACTTATCAAAGGTTAATAGGGGTTTAGTACAGGGTTACTAAGTCTGTTGGATTTTCCAAGGGGTCATAACTACACCTCTACCTCCATATAACGCGGGTCCTCGGGAGCCAAAAAAATCTTACCGCGTTATAGGTGAAACTGCATTATATTGAACTTGCTTTGATCCACCACAGTGTGCAGCCCCGCCCCCCAGAGCACTGCTTTAACACATTATATCCGAATGTGTGTTATATTGGGTCACGTTATATCGAAGTAGAGGTGTATGTGTAGCTTCTTCCGATAGGCTTAATGCTATCTATAAACATACCCTACTTATGTCTGGAACATGCTCATGACATCTATTAACCAGGGCTGCTCAAAAGATTTTCCATCAGAGAGGTATCCATGCCTACTAAACAAGATTTGGGGGAATTTTAAACAAAGGATCTGTCTTCCGTGGAAGGTTCCACTTTTACTGACAAACCAAACTATTTCCATTTCCGTATCCTGGTGTGGTGCTTCCTGAGTGCTGCAGTTGGTGTCAATCCTGGCAGTTCCATTGACTGTGAGTGGAGCTCTGCCGATTGACACCAGCTGAGGAGCTGACCCTGCATATCTCAACTACGCCTGAGCATTTACCTACAGCCTGTGACAATTCGACTCTTCCCTCCAAAGCCCCAGCGCATGACACCATCTCTTAGGCCTAAGGACCAACAGAGTGTTTGGTTCCTCTTTGAGGAGAAGTTACCCAAGCAGGCGAATGCAGTCTGGAAACTGGCAAAGCTCATCCAACAGACCAGAGCCTGTTGGGAAGGGCAGAGCATCTGGGCACGGTAGAAGACATCTAGGACATCCCCTCGGTACAGAGCCTTCAGATTGGCCCTGTGGAAAGAGAGGCCAAATAGACCTTTTATGCATCCAAAGGCAGCATAGGAAAGCAACAGAGGGTCCTGTGGCACCTTCGAGACTAACAAGTTAGTCTCGAAGGTGCCACAGGACCCTCTGTTGCTTTTTACAGATTCAGACTAACACAGCTACCCCTCTGATACTTGACAGCATAGGAAAGGTGTGTGTAGGGGGGGCATTTTGGTTCCATGACCGGGGTTATCCTAACCCCTGAAGGAGTTCAGAGCAGATGGGTAAGCAACAAAGCTAGTATGAAGGCGAGTATGTGAGAGTCCCTCACTCCACCCACAGGCCCAGTCTCCCCACGTTCCGCTACCCAGGGAGAGGTCAGACAGGGGATAGGGTGGGGGAGACTTGGAAAGCTCTCTTTGGTCCACCATGGTGAGGCTTGGGAACAGAGTCAGAAACAGGCTCTCACCTGTGCATCACCAGGGATCTCATCAGCATGGAGAAGGTGAGCAGGCAGGAGAGCACAAGGGAGCAGACATAGCACACTGTAAGGGAGCAGACAGGGACAGCTGTCATTTGAACCAGAGCAATAAAATGGATTGTGCTAGATCCAGAACTGCACCCAGCCACTGCCCACCATTCAATGGACCTTCCCCCACACATCTCCGACACTGATTTACAAGTTTATTGTGGCACTTTCATTGCTGCATCTCTAGCGCTGGTGAAAGGTGCCAGAGGGGCAGAACTGGATGACTTCTGGCTCTGTTTATGCAGTCACTGCAACATATGCAAGGGCAGCATCAGGCTTCCCAGCACTGTCCTGTTAGCACACTTCCATCCTGCCCCAGAGGGATCTCCGCTAGCATCCAAGGCCCATTCGATCCTCGGCCACTTTGCTAAAACTGGAGGAGGGGAATGGGATGGCTTAATGTGGTTGCCTGTCACCTGGAGAAACCACCTGGTGGTTAAGGCACTGGACTGGGACTCGAGTTCAGTTCCTGGCTCTGCCTGTGAGACTTTCCATAACCTTTGTGCCTCAGTTTCCCTACATGTAAAATGGGGAGAATATTTCACAGGTGCATCACATGGATACATTCAGCAGCCTCCCACATGCTTGACTCCTCCAGTGATTGGGTGTGGTGCAAAGAGCCAGGTCAGGCCAGCTTGTATCATGGAACAGAACTCCCACCCGATAGGAATGACAGCTGATAACTAGAGACCCACACAGACACACGCCATCACCCTAGGGTTAGAACTCCGCAGCCACAATACGCAGTCTGGCTTTGAGCTAGCCGCTGCCTGATTAGACATCCCTGCCTTCCAACCTGGTTTGGTGGCTGCAGTGACAGCCTCCAGCTAGGTCATTAAAGACAAGAGTCCATCCCTCCTGGGCTATCCAAGTCCAAAACAAACACGAAAGAGCCGGTCACCCCAGTCTCAAAGCTGTGCCCAGCTACTCCAAGTCTTTTTCACCCTTCAAATCAAGCAGTGACTGACTCCCAGGGCTCGCTACCTGGAATCTCCCTCTGGGTCTCTGCCGCCCACCCTCTGGCCTGAGTTAGCTATGTGACCTACTCAGCATGTAACTTCACTTCTTTTCTCCACCTGAGAGATGAGCTAAATGTTACAGGTGGGGCAGGACCTCTCTCTTTAAAGGACCACTCATCCAGAGACAGGCTCCACAGTCATTACCAGTCACCCACTCTCTTCCCACCCCCACTCCCTCTCCAAGCACTTAGCAAGTCTACAAAAACGGTTAGACGCTTTCAAAATGTCACAGTAGAAATCAGCCAGCAGAAGTGTGAAAGGAATGACAGGCTGTAAAAATATCTTTGAAAATGGGGGGGGGGGAGGGGGGGAGTGCCGGGATGGGGAGAGAGAAGTCAGGAAGACAATCGCAAGCAGGATTTTTAGTGTGTCACTGTTTGCAAGGAAGTGCTGCCATTGTTCTAAGTGCATAAAGGAGAGGCTGAATGAACAAGGGGGGCACCATGCTAGCCAGAGGCAACAGAGCCAAGAGCTCATCTGCCTTTCCTCCTGTTGGGGGCTTTGAATTAGCTAGTCCCCCACCCCTCCACACCAGGGCTTTGTAGTTCCGCACTCTAGAAGCCATCTGCTCAATTCCAACACATATCAAAGTCCCCCTGAACAATAGCATCTGTAGCATGGAATTGCTGACTGTGGATACATTTCTCCTCTTATCCCCCTTCCCTGCTTGGCATTCACAGCACTCTTTGTTTGCTGGCAAGAGACCAGGGTTTTCTTTTCATGTCTCCACCTCTCTGCTTTTGCAGCAGCATCCACATTTTAGAACTCTGCTATGCAGCCTGGTGGGAGTTTTGGCGACCAGGCCTAGAAATTCCAGGCCTGGAAAGAGTCAGGAAAAAAGCTGACATCTCCTGCTTGAGTAAGAGGCACACAAACTATTTCAAACAGGGCCAGCTCTGGCTCTCCATCACCACCATCTCTCACACTCTTTAGCATCCAAAACCTGCTATGAGGCAAGGCAGAGCTGTTATCTCCATTGCACTGATGGGAAATGGGGGCAAAGAGAGACTAAGCGACTTGACCAAAGTCACATAGGGGAGCATGTGGCAGAGGAGAGAACTGAACTGGGGTCTCCCAAGTACCAGGCTACTCCCCTAACCTTTCGGCCATCCTCTTCACTGTCCAAGACTCCTTTCCCAGCAGCCCAGTATTCCAGTTTCTAGAGTTTCCCTGTGATTGGAGCCCATTACCACAAACTGATGTACAGCCCCTGCACTGAGCCAGCCCACATGGCACACTTTTGCACCTAATGCTAAGAGAAAGCAGGGGAAAGTGTGTGTGTGTTGGAGGGAAAATGAATCAGAGGGGAGATGAAGGAGAGACTTCAGACAGATCATCGCAAAAAAAAACAAACAAACAAAAAAAAAGACACAACACACATGCTCTGGGCCTTTTAGAAGTTGTTAGTGGGAATAATTTTCAATGGCATCAAAGCACCATTAGGCACTCACCTCCCAGTGACTGGCAACCAGAGTCCTGTTACATTAATTTTCCTGGCATCCTTTCAGAGGACCAGGTCCCCTCCAAATTTCAAACCAACCTCTTGGAAAGACTCCGAGGACAGTGCAGCATTTCAGATCATCCCAATTCCCATGGCTACACTCCAGTCTGAAAGTTTCTCCTATCAAACCCCTCCCACCAACACTACCATGGGGCGCCCCCCCATGAGATCAGCTGTTGAACCCCAATTCAGCGAGGTACCTACGCACATGCCTCATTGAAGCACTTGAGTAGTGAGACCCCTCATATGCTTCTCTAGGCATGTGCTTTGATACCTTGCTGAACTGCGGCCTCAAGGCAGACCCACAGTCCAATGATGTCAATGAAGAGACTCCCATTGACTTCTTTGGATCAGACTTTTGAACTTTTAATCTCTTACATCCAGGAACTTCTCTCCCAGCACCAACCATGCCCCACCTCCCTGCATACCCACAAACAATGGGATTAGCGACACACTCAGGAGCAGGGACAGAACCCAAGAGTCACAGCACTCACACTCCTGTTTCAAACATTACATACCGCTTTGCAAGCCAGTCTAGCTGATGGTCACCGCCCTGCTACACAGGGACAGATGGCTCAGTGACTGACTGGTGCCCTTAGTTCCATTTAGTTAGTTATTTTTAATTAAAAAGAGATAGATAAAACAAACCCAAGCAGCTGCTGCCCTCTCACTCTGGGGAGCTGGGAGTTTGCTTTGGTCTGTGCAACTTTGTGCTAGTTGAATGGGAAGAGTTGATATTTAAATGTTAAGAGGTCATGAATTCTTTGGTGCATCTTGATCCTGAGGGTAAGTTTCAGTATCAGAGACAAATGGCCTGTTTCTTGGGTAGTCTCAGCAGACAGCTCCAGGATGGAGGAGTGTGTAAAGTGGGGGGAGGAATAGACTGAACACCCCCTTCAAACTTTCCTTGCCATCATCCATGCTGTACCAGACAGAGGCCTTTGGGCCTCTACACAGACAGCCCAGGATTTAGGTAGGGAAACGGGACTGGGATCATGGGCACCCTCAGCATCAAGCTCGACAGACTTGGAGAGTCTCACCTTCCAGTGACCACAGATAGTATCTGACTGTGTCCAGCTCCCGCTCCATGTCTCCAGGGACACCGCCCGGGTTCTCCGAGGGCACGACACCAAACTGAACCAGCAGGACAGTGATTTCCTTTGTCATCCCTGCCCTCACTATCTGAATGTTGGGGATGAAGACGACGAGCAGCAGCAAGGCCACCTGTGAGCCAAAAGCCTAGTGAGCGCTACAGACAGTGTGCAAGGGAGTGTGCTCATGCACATACACCAACAACCTGCCCACCCCCACTGTGGTAAATTCCCACCCCAGAGCAGCTGCTGATCACATCCTGGACACTGCCACGGAGTGGAGGAAGCAAGGGGGAAGTGGGTGCCAGAGCCTCAGACAATGGAAAGGTGACAGCAAGAAAAGGGTTAAAAACTCCAGTCCGGTATGCAAACTAGGACTGGCCTGAGGCTGCCAGGGCAGGAGTCCTCAGTTCCAGTCTCTCACCCAATGCGCTGGCAGGAGCACACCAAATGAACACCAACAGAGAGAGCTGTGGGCATCTGCCACGTCTGGCCCTGCTGCAGATGGAAAGCAGGGCTGTGACCAGAGCCTGGTCCTTGCTGAAGCTGATCACCCTGCCACGGCACAGTGACAGCAGCAATGAGTACAGAGGGGTGCTGCAGGCTCCGTCAGGCAGGAGTGACCCTTGGGACAATGCAGCCTGTCACTGAGGTTAATCCTGCTTGCTCCCGGGAGAACCCTCGCAGTGCCCAGGCCAAGCCACAGAAGGGGTGGGACAGGTGGGGTAGCCTGGCAGTTGGATGGGGCTGCCCATCTTGCTTCCCCACTCACATAGAAAGTAAGGCATGGGAAACAGGACATGCGGTCATGGCCAACCACGGGCCCAGCAGGGGCATTGCTACAGGCTTACCTGGTAAACAGCAATCACGGCTGTGGTTACAGAGAGAACCAGCTTCAGAGGAACCTGGAACCCTGAAATCCCAGAATGATAGGGGAACATATGAGACAGGAGACCAATTCCAGCTTGGGGCTTACGAGCAGCAGGGTGGCAAGTTAGCAAAAGGCATCCATCTGGGCTTCCATTCCTTCACAGTGTCAGTCACTCTCGCCATCCATCCAGTTTCATTACATCCATTCATAGCTGTCCGACCCCTTTCCTTCCACTCAAAAGCATCCCCACCACTATGGTTTCATCCAGGCCTTCCTCAGCGCATCCAGATTCCACCCATCCACTCGTCTGTCGATGCAACAACAGTCAACTGAACTGCTAAACAAGTGCATGAGGGAAGAAGCCTAATGACACACAAACCTTCATGCAATCTGGGACACAAGGATATTATGCCAATGGAGTTAGCACTCTCCTTGCAATGCCCCAAATTTCCTCTCACAAAGATGACAGTTCATGCAAATTGAGGAGTTGTGCATATTTAGGATGGCAGCTGCCTCGGCATAGATGCTTTGAGAGAGAGAGAGAGAGAGAGAGAGAGAGAGAGAGAGCGCGCGCGCGCGCGACAAGAACAC